GAGTAGTTTCTATCCCCGTATTTTCGCTTCAAAAATATTCGTTCACCTTAGGTCCACTCCTGTTAGGGGAAATTTTAATCCCCATTCTCGCCCTGCGGCTAAATTTTGATTTCCATCACATTCTTTAGCTCTACGCATGAATTATCCAGTAATAGGTCTTTCACAATCATATCTATTTATTCGCTGTTCATAACAATTAATTTCTACAATTTTAAGAAAAAAAATTAAAAAAAAACCCATAAAATCTCACAAATGAATTTGTAAGAAGGATAAAAACTCATTATATAACAAACTAATCAAACATAAAAACTCACAAAAAATAATAAATATAACAAATGTGTATTTCACTTAATTATTTTAATTGTTATATATGTTAGTGGGGAAGGGGCAGAACGGGAATGAGTGTCAGTTAATCGTCGCACAAATTTATACGGATATTCTCGTATACGTCCATTATTCAATATGCATGATTTACCTCCAATCCAAATGAAAAGAAATTAAACAAACACCCGTTTTTTTCCACTCCACTGTTGTCAAAGGTTGATGGGGTTGGAACTGGTTACAGTGGACGGCTGCAAAAGAGCCAAAAAAAAAAAAAAGGAAATCTTGTTAAGTGGTATAAGCAAGTTCAGTCTCATGTATAAACAAAATGCAATGGCAAGAAGCACCAGCGGCTCTTGTGGTATCGAACAGATGAAGGATCAAATATATGAATTCCAAAGGGAGGGATTTGGGTGGCGAGGCTATCAATGTTAAAAAAAAAAAAAGACAGTTTCGTTGGGACGTTGACGACGTGGAAGGACCGGGACCTCATTATATTATTATACGGTTTATACCAATGTTATCAAAACCGGATCGGTCATCGAACCGGCAAGGGAACCGAGTCAATGGTTCACTGGTTCAACCGTTGGGTCAACTGGTCGAACCGGTCATATAATAAAAAAATATATATATATATAATAATTATAAAACTTAATAATTTAGCTAAAAAATATAAAATACATAAAATACATAAAATTTGCCATAAAATTAATGAAATTAAGTAACAAAGTGGGGGTTATTGTATTTTAAAGCAAAGTAAAAATGTTCAAGTAAATTATAAAGAAAAAGAAAGGTGTCATTTATTATTTTTTCAAGAATAAGGTTAAAAAAATCAACTATTTACTGATTTAGGGCAAAAAAAATTATTTATGTAATTTAATTTTTTAAAATCAATTTTTGTTAAAAACCGGCCGATTTTCCGATTTTTGTTAAAAATCGACCGATTTTCTGATTTTTAGTCGGTTCGCTTCCTTAAACGGTTCAACTAAAGAATCGAACCGGTTAGGGTCCAGGTTCACGATTGAACCAGTCTGATTCTGATAATAGTGATTTATACCCTACGCTTCTTTCGGTAATGTGACGGGTCTGCCTTCTAGAGGGAGAATTTTCCACAAAGGCAATGCCAAATTCGTCTCGTCCCTTTTTTTTTTTTTTTTGTGGCCAACTTGACCCAACATGTTTGCTGGGTCCACAGCTTCTGGATCGACTGGTAATGTGACGGGGTCTGCCTTCTAGAGGGAGAATTTTCCACAAAGGCAATGCCAAATTCGTCTCGTCCCTTTTTTTTTTTTTTTTGTGGCCAACTTGACCCAACATGTTTGCTGGGTCCACAGCTTCTGGATCGACTTTTATGAGTAATGTTACATAAATTTGATAATCATAATTAGAGGTAATAATCTTAACTCATTATTTATTAATCTATTCAACCCGTCCATAAATAAATAGGTTAGGTATCTATATTAGTTAATATGAGTTGAGTAATATAATTCATTTTAATTAAGCGGGTTAATATGAATTATAAATGGATTGAGTATTTATATTTTTATTAAATAACAAAAATAATAAAATTAAATAAATATATTAATATATCAAAAAATACACACATTATTACACTAAAAAATACACACATATATACTAATACACCAAAAACACACACTAATACACCACCCATGAGTTGACCCATGACCCATGGATCGACCCATAACCCCACAACCAACCGACTTACCCATACCCCACAATTGACCCTGGCCCATTATGTTTGTATTTTTTTTATTAAATATGTTTTAGTTTTTGTGTGTGTATTTTTAGTGTATTAATGTGTATTTTAGTGTACTAGCAATGTACGACGTGCATTGCGCATGATTATATTTAAATAATAATTTTATTATAAGAATTTTAAATTATATATGTAATAAAATTTATTAATATTAGAATTTATTTCTTCATATAAATATAGACACAAATATAGAAAATTGTATGTAAATATACCGCTAATAAATAAGTTCAAAAAAAAATTAGAATCAAATACAATTAATAAAAAAAGTCAAAAAGAACTTAGAAGTCAAAGAGGCATAGGAAATAAGATTTGAATAAAAGTAATAAAGAATTTTGAATTCAAATACTGTTTATAGAAGAAGTCAAATAATTATAAAAAATCAAATTTGGATGAAAATAATAGATGGGTATCATTGACTTTATATTAATAATTAATAATAAAATAGCAAATCAAAAGCTTTTCACATATGTTGTCATTGACTTTATATTAATAATTAGGGATAAAATAGGAAATCAAATTTTTTTCAAATATGTTGACATTTATAAGTAGTATAGATTAATGTGTATATTTTTAATGTATTAATTTGTGTGTGCTTTGGTGTATTAATGTGTCTATTAAGAATTTTAATTATTTTATAGGTTAATCAGTTTAATTCAATCCGTTATAAACCAAACACATTATAACTCATTTACTAGGTGAATGAAAAATAGATTTGATTTATTTTAGTTCAATACAATTTAATTCAACTCAAAACCAACTCAACCGACTCATTTGCCACCCCTAATCACAATTATTATTAAATAAACAATAAATTTTAATAAATATTAAGACCCACAGTAAAATTAAGATCACAATAAATTAGTTCAACAAATTATATTAATAAATTAAATCTCAATAACATTGCTCATTTATAAATCCAAGTAACATTGCTCGAGTTTTATACATACTCTTCCTTGTATGGAATCTGATTCCTCTCACTTTCGAGTTGTGTTGGATACATTAAAAAAAGGATTAATTATAACGGTGGTTCCTAAAATTTATATTTTGTCTAATTTTAATCTCTAATATTATAATTGTATTACATTGGCCCCTAATATATTGAATTTATTTTCAAGTGGTCCCCATGTATAACGCTATCTAAATTTTTAACGATTTTTGCTCATATGCTTTAGACATACTCGCAAATGAAGGATATTTTAGACAAATCATTATCTACTTTGCCCAAAAATTGCTACAATAGTCCTCAAAGTATACTTTAGGAACTATTGATGCAATTTTGGGCCAAGTAGATAGTGATTTGTCTAAAATACCCTTTATTTGGGAGTATGTGGAAAGTACACGAGCAAAAACATATAAAAATTTGGACAAAATTATACATGGGGACCACTCGAAAATAAATTCAAAATGTTGAAAGACCAATGTGATACAATTATAATATTAAAGATCAAAATGAAACGAAATATAAATTTTAGGGACTACCGCTACAATTAACCCTTAAAAAAAATATTTTGTCTACACTATTTGCCAGAATTATGAAAACTCGAGTTGTGTTTAACCACACAATCTCTTCCCATCGTGTAAAGTATAAAAAATAATTAGATTATCTTAAATCTAATTATTATACCTAATGAGCCAAAGTATAAAAATAATTAGATTATCTTACATTATCTTAGATTAAAAACCTTTAAAAATAATTAGATTGTCTTAAATCTAATTATTATACCTAATGAGCCAAGGTATAAAAACCAAGAGTCTTAAATATCTAAGCCATTACCTTTCTTAAGTTTTGAAAGTTCACAAAAGATCTTCTTCATTCGACTTTGAAGCTTAAACTCCTTTATTTGAAGCTTTCAGATAAATTAAAGCAGCATGACCATGAACTTAGATTGAGATTTACAATAAAACTTCACAGAATTAACTAATTACAAATGAGCAATTTCCGAACAAAAAAGTTTTTAACTTCTTAAAAACAAAAAACAAAAAAATAATTTCATCATTAAGGCAAAATATGTTTGATCACCATATGATAAAAGCTGATCTGGAAAATAAAAAAAAAAACACGCGCACGAAATTTAGGTGTCATCAGTGAAAGAATATGTACCAGCGATGAAATGAATTAACNGATAGTGATTTGTCTAAAATACCCTTTATTTGGGAGTATGTGGAAAGTACACGAGCAAAAACATATAAAAATTTGGACAAAATTATACATGGGGACCACTCGAAAATAAATTCAAAATGTGAAAAGACCAATGTGATACAATTATAATATTAAAGATCAAAATGAAACGAAATATAAATTTTAGGGACTACCGCTACAATTAACCCTTAAAAAAAATATTTTGTCTACACTATTTGCCAGAATTGTGAAAACTCGAGTTGTGTTTAACTACACAATCTCTTCCCATCGTGTAAAGTATAAAAAATAATTAGATTATCTTAAATCTAATTATTATACCTAATGAGCCAAAGTATAAAAATAATTAGATTATCTTACATTATCTTAGATTAAAAACCTTTAAAAATAATTAGATTGTCTTAAATCTAATTATTATACCTAATGAGCCAAGGTATAAAAACCAAGAGTCTTAAATATCTAAGCCATTACCTTTCTTAAGTTTTGAAAGTTCACAAAAGATCTTCTTCATTCGACTTTGAAGCTTAAACTCCTTTATTTGAAGCTTTCAGATAAATTAAAGCAGCATGACCATGAACTTAGATTGAGATTTACAATAAAACTTCACAGAATTAACTAATTACAAATGAGCAATTTCCGAACAAAAAAGTTTTTAACTTCTTAAAAACAAAAAACAAAAAAATAATTTCATCATTAAGGCAAAATATGTTTGATCACCATATGATAAAAGCTGATCTGGAAAATAAAAAAAAAAAAACACGCGCACGAAATTTAAGTGTCATCAGTGAAAGAATATGTACCAGCGATGAAATGAATTAATGGAAAAAGAATATAACCGAATTTAACCCACAGTTATAGATCTCACATTATATCAGCTATTTATGATCAAATGTAAAAATTCTTCTCCCTCCTCTTAGACTGGATTTCAATGTGAGTTTTTATCTTGCACGGTGCTAACCAATGCTTAAATGATCATGCCACTGAACCAGCACAATGTCATAAGGTCAAAGGAACTGAAAAAGCATCCTCAAACAAGTGAAAGGACAACAATTATGGACTATGTGGATTTTATAGATGATGCTCAGTCAAATTGTATCCAACCATGAATCAAAATCATCCAAAAGTTTAGACTTGGAAGCAGGGTGCAAGGAAGAGGAAGATAGAACATCAGAAGGGGCAGCCTTTACCTCACTGGACTGTGATGGACTATTGTTGTTTATTAGACTGGATGTTTGCTTGAGTAGGTCATCAATGGTATCATCATCCAGATTGGCAGATACCAGTGCAGAACTAGATAAATCTGGGTCTTTCTTCACTGGTTCAGCAGGAACCAACCAAACAGATGAAATTCCTTCCAACAACAAATTTGAGGTTTCTCCTTGTGACAAATAAGATGTGTGACCGGACTTCTCCGTGATGCCATGGGAATCAAGAAACTTTGTTCCACTAAACGAGTCGAGAAGCATGTCAAGCTCTGCTTCTGCAGCTGCTGCCTCAAATCTAGACAGTTTCTTCGCAGGGTTTGAAATAGAATCCACATTGAGTTCTGCTGTAGATTCCAAGAAAATGCTTTGACTAGTACTGCCAATATGCTGGACTTCATCCTTCACCTGATTTATGGACTTTGACCCTTCACTGGTATAAGCTGGAAATGGATGGCTGGTGGTGGTTGTGGTGTCTTGATCAGTGTTCTTCTCTCCTTCAGAAACACAATGGGACGCTAAGGAATCAGAATCTTTCTCAGCCATATAACTCCTACTTGGAGCTTGACCCTGGCCAGATCCCTGATTGCTGCTTGCTTGTAACTCAGTGCACTGACACATGTAACATGGAACTAGCTGATGATATCAAAAAACAAAACACTAACACAAACACAAAGAATCTCTATTTTAACTTTCTCCATAAATATATTCGCTGATAAAAAAGGTCATTAAAAACTGAAGGTGCTACGAATGACCAATGGGATATTTTTCAAGATTTGTATTTCATTTTCTAGTTTTTTGTTTAGATTTCAGTTATTTGGTCTCAGGAAGATAATGATTAACTATCCAAAGATGCATGTCCCAATCCAGACTAACCTGCTAGAGAAGTTGCATATCGGAAAAACATTTTAAGTACTCTTGTTAAGAGAAACCATTATCCTGGTGTCAGGAAAGTAACAGCCATAATTTATTCATTGTACGTTTTATAAGTTAGGCATCCGATATTTTGTGTCATAGCATGCACACATTCAGTAAAAACCTACAACGAAAGTCAAAAGCCGGCATACTCAAGTTTCATCATTTATTGCTCAAATAATCTACTTATGGCATATCTGTTACGTCCATCGGGAGAATGAACAAATGCTCAGCAGACCTCTAAGTTGAAAAGCAAAATCAAGTGCAATCAAGATTCACCCTACAGCAGTCAAATTAACTTTCCAAGACAGGTGAAATTTATGCTATAGTAATAAGTAATATGAAGAAAGATACACCTCTATAACTAAGAGAAGAATGCTCTCATCTTCTAAATGTGATATGCTAATGCAAAGATCATCAACAGGCAGTGTAATTCCAATTACCCCAATAAAAATATTATTCGTACCAGCTCTGGTGGTAATAGATCTGCTTCAATAAAAAGCCTTTCTGATGGATCAGATTTTGCAAGTTGTTCAGCAAGAGCATGCAGATTGAGAGAAATGATGCCTATGACAATAAGAAAATAACATAGAAGTGAGCAGGGGCAGAACTACGATTTTCTATAGTGGGGGGCCAACCTAAAATTCATTAATAAATATTTTTCTCTAATTTTTATGTAAGCACAGTTTCATTAAAAGAATGTCAACTGGTAATTGAAATACACAAGCAAAATACACAAAAAAGCGCTAGTAAAAAAGGCTCACATAAAAATTTCCTATTGTCAGGGTGCGTTAAGATACTCTCTGATGAATTAGGCTCCGTTTAGCCCTATACTGGAGTGTGTACCCATTTGGAAGTGCCTTGAGCTATATTGGAAGATCTTTCTTCGCAGAATAAATGTAGTTTATCTACCCAAAAATGTAGTATAATCATCCACAAGTCCTAATAAGAAACATTTGTAACAGTGTTAAACTGAATACTTAAAAAACATTGAGTCTTCTCAGTATCAGATGTCCCCAAAGGGACACTTTATCATTGAGTCTTTTAANATAATCATCCACAAGTCCTAATAAGAAACATTTGTAACAGTGTTAAACTGAATACTTTAAAAAACATTGAGTCTTCTCAGTATCAGATGTCCCCAAAGGGACACTTTATCATTGAGTCTTTTAGCAAATAATTTATAAAGCCCATAAATGACTCAACTACATTGAAACAATTTAGAAAAAAATTCAATATATCACAAATCAATTAAAATTGAACATCGATATAAGAACGATTTAATCTGCCACAAGCAAACTGTTCAAGTCTAACTAATCGAACCAATTTAACCCAAAACATAATCCATAACTGACAAATTCTGGATATTTTACTTTTAAAAGAATCCCACATTTGCTAAAATATAAAACTATCATTAAATTTTTCAGAAACTTTTGAGTGAGAGGTTGGGAGCAAGTTCTAAAAAATTTTTAAACCCTAGAACTTTTCAAAATTGCAATAGAAGCAGGTGCCCTTCAGTTCTGCCCTCACTATGGCTCTATCATTAGAAGTGAACCAACATTCACAGAAAAGGGTGACTAGTAAATCTATCTAAAAAAAGGTTCAAATATAGCTTTATCCACTATAACTATCATGATAACCATAATTACGTTATTATTTGATGTCTTTTGCAAGGCCAACAATTCCTCAAACATGGCTTGCCGCCATTGAGGCCTCCTTGCCAATATGAGGTTTGTAAATAAGAGATTAAATTTAAGATTTATCTATCTTCCATAAAGGAGCCAAATGAAACCAAAGTTTCATGTTCAGTTTTGAATTAGAATCATTCAAAATAGTGAATCATGAAATCTTACCTATCAGATTCCATTATGGCATACACAACTTTTTCTGAAGAAGAATTCGCCATGATATATCCAATCAGGTATGCGACCTTGGATTGTTGTTGCATATTCACCGTTGTGTTTTTTCATCTACCCAATTAGTCAAGAAAGTTTTTATGATATGTCACTATGAATCTTTGATACTTTCAACTTCATGATTGTATTCCAGATAGTTAAGTCATTACTCTTTGTAAATCCCTCTAAAAAGAATAGGTCAACCAAAGCTTGAATATAAAAAGTAACTCTTAGCTGGATGCACGATGCATTTGTATGCTACAACATTAAAATACTGTTACAACTCAGCCAAACATTGAAGGCTTTGAACGACGAGTACCGAAAAATCAAAATAAATATTCCTGACCCTGCAAGATGTTATCACGAATGGCTAGCCACAATGCATTTTAAATTGCTGGCCCCTATTTCCCCAGGATTATCAATATTCATAATTATATAATTTCACAAGGACCTACATGAAATTATTGGGTCTTGGCGATCATGCATCCCATACTGGTGTCTTCCAATTTTCTCTTCTCAAGACCAATTGAAAAGAAATAATGTTAATGTAAAAGAATGTCCACCAACTAAAACTCCCTTGTTTATCTTTTGCTTTTCTAGCGTGCAATGACACCTTAGGGGCATTGAATACCCTTCAACTATCTTGACAAAATTTAGAAGTTTCAAAGCCTATTAACAACTCTCATTTATATGTTTTAGTTTAATAAATCATGTGAAAAACAAGGTCATGACACAAGAAATATGTAGTAACCCCTGTTTGTAAAAACATGCTTCTGATACCATGAATTGTTCATATCTATGTACACCATACAGACTTCAGTCCCATGTTTTCAATGTGTGGGATGTTTTGTCTTTGACAGACTTTCAGCTCTGGGCCCATATGTCGGCCTAATAAGACTGTGGTTTCCTATCAAAACAATATGAAATTATAGAGTGATCTCACTTACCAAAAAAATATTAAGTGATCTTGGCCGTTCATATGTTTTGAATTTTTAGCTTTAATAGTTTTAAATGAAAGAAAAATTTGATTAATTATAAACAAATTTGAATATACAGCCGAATTAGGGGATATGGCAACACAAATCAATTTGGACCATGCTCAATTTCTTTTTTCCAACGACGTCAAATATTTTTTATTTAGATAAATCTGATAAGCTATTTTTTTGGAATTTTACAGTTGATTTTGAATTAACATAATCGATTATAATATTTAGGATCGATTTCAAGTATCTTAAAAAATTATAATTTGATCCCAAAAAAATATAACTTCAATCTTAAAAGTTATAACATGACCCATAATGCTCGAGCTTTAATTTGACCCCAATCTCTTTGAACTATTATGTGTGATGATCGATCTTTAAAATTTCGATACTGAAGACATAAAGGGGTTTGGTTATGTGAAATGGGTTTATTCAAATAATGCTCTTAAATCTTAACTTGGCAATTATGGATAATTTATAATGAGTTTTTTTTGGTTCCTTTATACATTGCTTGTCTATATGGGTTGCACCCTTAATTATTGGTAATGGAATAAAATATATGAAAAGTATTATTAATTATTATAATCACAAAAATAACTTTAACGTTATTATTTCAAAATATTATTAAATTTTAGGTTAACCCACAATCCAAAAAGTCTTGCTCCACCCTTGTCTGTGCCGAAAGATTTTCTTCAACTACTTGGGTCTATATAATAAGAGATATAGAAGGATGACTTCAACAAACCAAGTTAAGTCCTCCAACCAGATAGAACTATGGCTTGAATCAGCCATTCTGAAAAGGGTAAGTTGACTACCATTCACCTTCCCCAAACACTACCATAGGCAGAAGTCTTATGGACTGGGTATAACCTTTTGCCATCCAAAGAATCTAAAAGACGCATAGCTAAACGTAAAATCCACTTTATGCCAATCCAATAAGCACTAAATAATTACATATATTGCACTTACAAATCGATTAATTTGGCAATTATGTTTGTCAGATAAATTCATCCAAGATTAATCCAACTCAACAAAGTCTCGTACTCGCATTTTTGGGTCAGCTACAAGAATTATTGTTTTGTCATTGTAATCTATTAAGGGTCATGTTTTCCATTAGACCATAAGTTATCATATTTTTTTTACTATTTTATTTAAAGTAAATTTTTACCTTCTTCTATTGCTAAGCATACTGTTAGTAGCTATCACACACGTCACTCATTCCACTGGTGTCACAGTAGATCGTCTATACATATATTTTGATTTTCATTTACTATAAGTGTTACCTCTAATTTTTTGCGGATATAATCATTCCTAATTCTATCATTCGTAATTTTACTACATATCCATTTTAACATTCTCATTTTTGCCACATTCAATTTTTGAACGTTTTGTTTCTTAACTATCCAACACTCAAGACCCTAAAGCATAGCGGATCTTATGGTCATTCTATATCACTTTCATTTTAGCTTAAGGGGTATGCATCTATCACACAATACATTGAATGTATCCCTCCATTTAATCCATCCTACATTAACCCTATGAGTCAATGCATTCCACTATTTAGTCATCCCAAATGAATTGTGTGAAAAAGCAAACACCCTGGGCCAACTTCTATTAAGCAGCAGCTGACTTTGAGGATGGATCTTCATCCTTCCTCTTCACAATAAGCTTCACACTAATAAATTAATCAAAGATTTTTATTCATAAAACACAGAGATTCAACACATGGAACTTGCAGAAAAGTAACAGACAAGGAAGAAACTACATGTATTTTTGCACTCATGTCACACCTCCAGAAAAGGGGGTAAAAAAAAAGGTGCCTAATTGTAATCAAAATGACCATATGAAGAAGAAGAACATATAAGCGCAGAATTTTGGCCTTTGTAGGCTTTGCTGTATAAGAACAAACAGATAACTCCTAAGATGTGGATAACCAATATGTACGTTGGTGATGTTGCATTAGTATTCTATATTCCTACTTTCCTTCCATTTGCAGACTTAGACCCATCAAATGAAAGATTATAAAACATCAGAAACAACTTACTTCACGACTTGAAGTTGCTTTATCCTCTAATATGAAATTATCATCTGCAATCCATGATAATATGCTATGCCCTTCGACAGAAAGCAAAGAACCCACTCCCTGATAGAAATCTAAGAGAAAACTGTCAATCCCCAATAAAATAACTCAGCATAACTTTCACACAAACNATATGAGGTTTGTAAATAAGAGATTAAATTTAAGATTTATCTATCTTCCATAAAGGAGCCAAATGAAACCAAAGTTTCATGTTCAGTTTTGAATTAGAATCATTCAAAATAGTGAATCATGAAATCTTACCTATCAGATTCCATTATGGCATACACAACTTTTTCTGAAGAAGAATTCGCCATGATATATCCAATCAGGTATGCGACCTTGGATTGTTGTTGCATATTCACCGTTGTTTTTTTCATCTACCCAATTAGTCAAGAAAGTTTTTATGATATGTCACTATGAATCTTTGATACTTTCAACTTCATGATTGTATTCCAGATAGTTAAGTCATTACTCTTTGTAAATCCCTCTAAAAAGAATAGGTCAACCAAAGCTTGAATATAAAAAGTAACTCTTAGCTGGATGCACGATGCATTTGTATGCTACAACATTAAAATACTGTTACAACTCAGCCAAACATTGAAGGCTTTGAACGACGAGTACCGAAAAATCAAAATAAATATTCCTGACCCTGCAAGATGTTATCACGAATGGCTAGCCACAATGCATTTTAAATTGCTGGCCCCTATTTCCCCAGGATTATCAATATTCATAATTATATAATTTCACAAGGACCTACATGAAATTATTGGGTCTTGGCGATCATGCATCCCATACTGGTGTCTTCCAATTTTCTCTTCTCAAGACCAATTGAAAAGAAATAATGTTAATGTAAAAGAATGTCCACCAACTAAAACTCCCTTGTTTATCTTTTGCTTTTCTAGCGTGCAATGACACCTTAGGGGCATTGAATACCCTTCAACTATCTTGACAAAATTTAGAAGTTTCAAAGCCTATTAACAACTCTCATTTATATGTTTTAGTTTAATAAATCATGTGAAAAACAAGGTCATGACACAAGAAATATGTAGTAACCCCTGTTTGTAAAAACATGCTTCTGATACCATGAATTGTTCATATCTATGTACACCATACAGACTTCAGTCCCATGTTTTCAATGTGTGGGATGTTTTGTCTTTGACAGACTTTCAGCTCTGGGCCCATATGTCGGCCTAATAAGACTGTGGTTTCCTATCAAAACAATATGAAATTATAGAGTGATCTCACTTACCAAAAAAATATTAAGTGATCTTGGCCGTTCATATGTTTTGAATTTTTAGCTTTAATAGTTTTAAATGAAAGAAAAATTTGATTAATTATAAACAAATTTGAATATACAGCCGAATTAGGGGATATGGCAACACAAATCAATTTGGACCATGCTCAATTTCTTTTTTCCAACGACGTCAAATATTTTTTATTTAGATAAATCTGATAAGCTATTTTTTTGGAATTTTACAGTTGATTTTGAATTAACATAATCGATTATAATATTTAGGATCGATTTCAAGTATCTTAAAAAATTATNCGACGTCAAATATTTTTTATTTAGATAAATCTGATAAGCTATTTTTTTGGAATTTTATAGTTGATTTTGAATTAACATAATCGATTATAATATTTAGGATCGATTTCAAGTATCTTAAAAAATTATAATTTGA